TTTCAGGACACCATCATGACAAACTTAAATTTCACCTTATATTATACTGTTTGTAAGCGTTCATAAGTATTAACAGAGGTTATTTAAAAAAGAAAAAGTAGGTTTAACTCTACTTATTAATTAAAAAAAAAAAAAGAAATACAAAATGTTATAATAATAATATTACTTATCAAGTGGACTGGCTAAGCTCTAGGGAAAGTGTCATTTGGTCAAATGCTTATTTAATAGAGTCAGGTTAACCTTATGCCCCAACTATCACTTCAAGATCAAAATATGGCTTTTAATAATCAGATTGAACCAGCTCTGAAGGGTTTAGACTTGCCACAGAATTAAAGAGCAAAATTCTGAAGCAACGTAATCAGCTTCCAGAGTAAGATTCAACTGAGTAGAGTAGCCAACTCCAAAATGATTGGAGTACTTACAAGCTAGTGGACATAGACACGACCAGACCAGGCTTTTTACCTGAGTAAACCCCGTTTGCAATCTAGACTACTATAGTCACGACCCCGTTCACAACTTTGACGTTTTATTGCATTCCATCTGTAACTCTAGTGCTGAATTCAAGGTCAAGTTTTTGATGAATCAGAGTTGTTAGGTGAAAGCTAGCAGATAAGATGAGGATGGCTAAGATTCAATGCAAGAATGCATGCTGGTAAGTATTATAAATAAGAACTGAATAATTAATAATTTATTTAAGATGATTAATAAAATAACAAATGTAAGATTAAACGAAAATATGTCTGTTCTAAAGAAGTTTTAGTTGCAAACTAATGTGAATAAAATATTCAAACGTTGCTATAAATAGGTCAACGTCAATTGTACAAGATACAAATATTTTATAATACTGATTTTACAAACTCGAATTCATGCCTTCATATACCGTAAAAAACTCACCTAGATATACAATTGTGGATCTTCTGGAGGTATATATCATAATGATATTACCATTAATGTAAATCACTTCAAGCCAGTCAATATTCACTTATTGACAGTTATATAACTATCACTATTTGAATCAATGTTATACTTATATCACTGTGAATGTCTGCTAATTCATTTTTAGAAAGTAATGAACAGTAAATTGATTTAATTTCTAACCAATATGTTTGATAATTTAATTTTAGATTATATGAAGTTTCAAGAATGGCATCAAATCGGATTGTGTTATTTATAGTTTAATTTGTGGATTATTTAATCGTTAGATTTGATTTGAAAAATATTTATTATTTCTTTACTCTTTCAAAATGAAGTGATGAATATACATTGTTTAGTAGTGATTTTTACTTTCTAAAAATGAATTAATTCATTTTTAGGAAGTAAACAACTAAACAATGAATAAAAAAATTGTTTATAAATATAAGCGTAAATTTTTAATTCATTAAACAGTAATGAATACGTTAAATTGCTAAAAAAAATTAAGAAAGAATTATTCATATCAAGAAAAATGTTGTCCTTATAAAGAAGAGAAATAGAATTAAAATATCTCCTTATAATTTTGTGAATTCTGGATCCAAATTTTGAAATAACTTTATTACGAAACTTTATCAAAACTACATATCAAATAATAACTTGGATGTAATTTATTTGTATCAAAATAAGCTAAGTGATACAACGGCAACATCCTCTATTTTCCTCCAAATAAATTATTTCATTAAATATGCAAATATAATCCTTTTAGACCATAATCTCGTTCGATAGGATATTAAAACTAAATTGCAAAGAAGATGACAATTGGATAGAGAGCACATTTATTTAATACGCTTCAACGTCATCGTCTCATTGGCTAGACGTTAATGAGAAAGTCAAAACGAATGAAGTTGAAATAATTGGATTGAACTTCATATTCCATGATGAATATCTTTTTATCTTATGAATATACACTTTAATTTTTTTTACGTAGACGGAACAACAAATTAGATAAAAGAGATGGGAAATTAGTGGAGAATAAGGCTAGTTAAATCGGATCGAAACTGCTGGCGTGAACAGGTACTATTATCTCTGAGATTGGTGACTGCACTCGAATGTCGAGTCGGTCTTCAACATTCTGCAAAGTGAATTTATCGCTGGCAAACTCGCGAAAACTCACTCCCTAGAGAGAAGTTGGTATTCAGATGGTTGGAAACTAATATTCCAACGTATAGATTTATATGCCTCTTTTAAAATAAATGCTTGTTTTCAGTAGCTTACACCACTGATAAACATGATATGTAAACTAATTCCATATGTTATAAGGACTTATTGGAAGATTATAAATTATATCCACTACAATTAACAGAGATTATGGAGCTGTGTTCAATATTGTCTAATTATTTGTACTATTTATTTAAATTTCTAAAGCCACTTCACGAGTTTCTTAAGCGAAATTAAAAAATAGGTCATGAATTAAAACTTTAATCTAGTTTTGTAAATAATAAATAGAACTATTTTTGCCAATAATTAATCCTGATTCTCTTTCAGCAGAATAGAACATAAACTCATAATCCAGAAGAAATAATTAAACTCTAATATTAGTATTAAAAAAAAAAGACAAAAGAAATGCGAAAATAAACGGGAATTTCTTTCTCTCTCACAAAAAATTTCATAATCTGAATATACTTGAAAACAAATTTTTTAATTAAAAAAATTGCCAATAACTCTAAGGGACTTGACTAAAAATAAATATAAGGTTTCTGCAGTTGTACTAATCAAGTTTATTTTCAAAACAAATCCATGTTAGAAACTGAAAAAATATTTACTTTTTTGGCTTTTTGATATAACTGATCAAAATACAATTTTTTAATAGTTTTTAATTTAATAAAAAAAAAAAATGATTTATGCAATTAATGCTAACCTAACTAATTAACAACTTCAAATGCTACTGAAACAATTAAAATCCTACTCAGCTTACGGGTTTTTAAATTATTCATTTCCTCTAAAAGAAGACTAAATTAAAGGAGCTGATAATCGATGAGATTACTTGGTAGTGCAGTTTTGGGAATAACATACATATATGAATAGAACATAGAAGGATGTATTCTGTACGTACGAGCGGGTTGTCTCGTTGATGCTTTGGGGTGCCTATTTCCAGGTCTTGTAACAGTGCTTGAGGTTGATTATCACGCGATGGGATAACTCGAGTTCATTGTACTTAACCAGGGTGAAATAATTAATTGTACCCATCGTATCAAGCTATAACGAGTGCATAGAGTTGAGACAATAACAGACGTTTGTATTTCTATTTCTATGTAAATACTTTAACAAAACCCTGAATGCCATGCTTTGAGCTTTGTCCTGTCTCGAATATTTTACATATATGCATGTAATTCGTACATACATATATACAAAACACATAGTAAACTAATTCTCCCTTGCGGCGACAAGTGACTAATAGACCAACCAAGTTACTAGTCTTGATTTAATCTTCCTCAATTCTCAGTTTCAATTTATTCTAGCCAATTAATCCACTAGTTCTACTCAATTTTCAGTTATTTAAACTTTAATTGTTTAAGTTTTCTCATTTTTATGCCTTTTTTTTATTTAAATTTTTTCATTATTTTTTTATCATTTATCTTATGCCAATTTTTACCTATGTTTTATTTCAGATTACTTTTAATTTAAGTTCTGTCCATCTTTCTGTCTATCACGCAGTATCTTACTTCGTGATAACTCATTCGTTCACAACCTTACCTACACATTGGTGTATGTACATACGATTTTATTTATTTTTTTTTTTTTTGATCATTTATTTTTACTCACTATTATTAACTGAAGATGAGAAGAATAGAGAAAAAAGTTGAAATGTAAAAAGTTGGTAAAAAAAAATAAAACAAAAGATGTTATTTCGCCTCATTTAATGGAGTAAAAAATTCTCCCGTTGAAGAACAAATTTTTCCATGAATTAAGACCACACATATGTATATATGAATTTACAAACTTTTAATATATACAGGACAAACCATCCCAACTTTGGCACTGCACTTATATTAAAAAAATAATTCCACATGAAATAAAAAAAAAAAACTTGTGTTTACTATGAAAAATTATTAGTGTCCACATTTACTTAACATCTTTTACTTGTTCTCATTTTTTCGAAAAAAGAACTGTCAAAAATAAACGAAAAGATCGTTGAACATAAACTTATTATTTGCATTCCATCTTTTTCTACTTACAAAACTTAACCAAGTCCGAAATGTAAACATCATAAAATTACGTAAAACAAGTATGCATCGTACAATCGATTTCTAGAAATAAAAGCAAGTACATAAATTCAATGAAATACTATAACACGGTGATAGAAAAAACAAAAGAATAAAAACGAAAACATATTAAAACTATTTACCTTTCATTCTTTTTTAATCCAAAATCGCAATAAAGTTTCTCTAAAAACTAAGCCTGATAGATCAACAACATTGTGTCGAACATGAGTTAACCTAAATTTTGAAACTGACTAATGAAACATTTTTCAGTGACATCAACATTAAATAGATGACATTATTGACAATATTGGAGTCACAAAAATATTTTCTTATAGTTCCATTAAATAAAATAAATTTTCAAATATTCATTTAATCTTCACTCTAGGACTGGAGTAAAAAATAATTAACATGAATAAATAATGAATCTCACTAAAAAATAAAATAATACACAAACTTGGATTGGTCTTGACCGAGAGTATGTGTGATAAAAATCCATGGAAAACTAGTATCTTCATTACTGTGCACTTGTTCATTAGTATATTTCAACTGAACTGAAATATTAAAAAAAAAGAAAAATAAAACTAAAAACTCATCTTCAACAACTTCTGATTAAAAAATAAATAAAACTTGAACAATAACTCCAATGCAGAAATTAAAAGGGCATAAACTTGTCAAAGTCGACAACTTAATAGACAGAAATTCACTATTGAGTATTTAATTGAGAGTAAATAAGCATTTCAATTACTTTTAGAAATGGAAATTGACAAGTTGTTACATTCAAAAGTAATTATCGTGCACTTAATGACTTTTAATTGATGTTTTTACCTGTCCCGGTATCGCTGTATGCATTAACTGCTGCCACAATGTAGGGTATCACCGCGAGGATAAACATTGTATGACGATGTCGACGCGCAATCATCAACTAAATCCACGACTGCCGAACAAACCGTCTCTACACTCACTAGAAGAACATTCTCCCGCCAACACGTGGCGCATGCGCAGACTGTTCCAAGTGTCGGGGTTTATTTTCATCACCCCAATCTTACTTTTATTATTTTCATCATAATCTTTTTTACTGTGTTAACAGTTTAACATTCGTCTCACATTTGTTTATTGCATTTTTTTTAGAGGGCATTGTTATTAGTGAGATTCATCGGATTAAAATGGACATTTCCGTGAATTCTACCAAAGCACGAAAGGGGATATAAAAAACACGTGGATGGCCGCAAAACAATACTCCATTATTGATGATGCTATTGCACGATCAGAACTTGCAGTTGCATGCTAGTAAATTAATAGTATATAATATTTTGATGTAAAACACTATTTTAAACGGAGTACATCAGTAGATTTCCATCTTCAAGTATTGATATACTTATTCCAAGTGACACGTGATTACTCTTCATATCAATCATTTTCTTTTTTCATGTCGTTTTAAAGCTAGCCAAGTAATTAATATAATAATAATTGGAGGAAATATTATAAATGACATATCATTATTGTCATGAAGTAGTTGGTAGGTTTTTAGCTGATGAATGTCATAAAGAGCCTTCACTCTCAATCAATTATAAACTGACAAGATTGACGTGTTTATAAATAAATCCGATTAATTCATTATTATTTGAATCCATTATTTACAATTTTAATCTTCTTCTATTATTATGAAGATTCATTTCTATATTTATATCATTTTAATGAATTTATAAAAATAGGTTTGAATGAATGATGAATTACATAAGTTGAAATTTAATGAATGGTATTATTTAATAAAAAACATTAAACATATTATTTTTGAACTCCATTTCATGGTTGAAAATAGTCTATATTTTAGATGAAAGTTTTGTGGTGAACGAAGCTCTAAAACTGATAGTTCATTTTCATATAAATTCCAAATCAAACTCATGTTATGTCTTTTTCAATAATTATTAAATTTTATAATGTCATAATTAAATATAAAATATAATTTTATTAGATATTTATATTATAGGAATTAGAAGATATTGAAAGGTAAATAAAATTCAATAGTTTACAATAACTGAACATATATTGGAATTTCATTGACGATGAAAATACTGGATGCTAAATTTTTTGCATAGTTATTCATAAGTATAATGAAAAATTTTATAATTATGTTCAATAGAAATGTTGTTTATTTAATAATTTAACAATAAATAACAAACACAAAACTTTTAAAAAAATTTTAATTAGGAAACAGGGAATAAAAGAATTTTTAATCATCATTATATTTATATATTTCAAATTCGCAAGCAGAATTTAAATAATTTAAAACCAATATAATATAAACGTTTTTTCAATACAAGCAGTACAATTTAAATAATCCAGCATCAAATAATTTAATCACTGTTTAGCCATCAAACTTTTGCATTTAACGCCAGAACTTTAGTTTAAATTTTTAACATCACTTCATCTGATGTACATCATTTATAAATTGAAAAGAAAAATAAATAAATTTTTTATCAGTTCTTGGGGATCACCCAGATAGATGAAGTAGTGCTTAAATGTAAGGTTTTTGTGGAAAATAAACCAAGCGTAGAATTATCGATTACTTAGTAGCGATTCGGTTTCTCTAGTGTTTCTTTGCTCTGCATGACTTGATGGTATGCAAGCGTAACACGTCATTCGATTGTTGATGAGGCAAGTAAAGGGTAAAAGTAGGAGGGTAAGAGGAAAAGGATGTAGATGAGAGACGTTAGTGAGGAAGCAAAACTCTGATCGTGCCGTACACGATCGATATGACGGCCGACTTTTGAATCGATTTCAATTTACCCTCATTTACAAGCTCTCGCTTCGTAGGCTAACGAGCTTTCGAAAGTCGTAGACAGCCGACGAGTTTGGTGATGGTTAAAGGTTGCTGTTATACCTATCTATTCCCATTCCCCAATACATTTAACTCTTCTGTAACTTACACCCGATGTTAGTTCAGTGTAGACACAAGCTGTCCGCGGATGTTAATTATAAAAAAAACTTTCAATTAACTTTCAATTAGAAAAATAAACTAGACCAACTGAAAAATAAAAATACACCATTAAAATTTACCACTTTATTATAGATGTAAAATATATCTTCACTATATAAGTTCATTGTCTTATCAATTAGTTTGAGATGAGATTGTTCATGTATAAACAAATATCTTTTTTTTTTTTACAATTAGATATCAAAATAAAATCATAAATTAATTAAAATATCCATTGATGTCACCCTCAATCACTAATTAACATTCATAACTAGATAACAATTTTCTCAATCACAAATTTGCTTCTCTATTGATCAAACAACAATTATAACAAAACAAAAAAATAGCAAAAGATACCAAGTTTTTGTGATCAAGGGCTAACAAGAAGCAATAAAATGAGCTTTTTATTAACATTAATCGATGTATCTGATAACTTGCTACGTAATAACACAGTAATAAATAAAAACAATCATAGGGTATATTGAAAAATCTATAAAGAAATAAAAAGTAACCTTTTGTTACTATAGAGTATTTTTGATTCACCACTTTTTCTCATTTCCTCTGATTGATTACTTGGCTCACATTCTGGTTTATTTCTCATAATTACTGTACGACTGAATAACGGCCAACAAGAAAAACGTGGCACTCATCACATACTCGAACTGGTTTAGCTGAATTGGGCAAAGCAATGGTGTTATCACTACAGGCATTGCAGAAAATATTTCCACAATTTCGGCAATGATGCTGCAACATACAAGAGAACATTTTATGAGTGCATTAAAGTAGCAAGTTGAAGAAACTGCAAATGATTCACACAATTTTACAGAGTATGAAAGGAAAGTAACCATAAATCGTCGCGATTACGTACGGATTTTTCTCTTTTCGCAGTTTTCAGGAGAAGTGTACGACTATTATAAAGACGGTTAAGCTTAACGTCCTGGAATGGGCAAAGCTGACTGCTTTTTGTATCTTTCTTCCTCTCAGCAGTATATATACTGCAGATGCCATGCTATGCTACATCCAAATTGAATCTTTCTAAATAAGATGGTTCCGTTATTACATGAGCATAGATTGGGAATAAAACTTTTCATGCTTCCCCACTTGGTTTACCGATAACCGATTCCCCGTAAAGTTAATTATCGAGCCGTCCCGAGGCGCGTGACTTACGATCCAAACGTCGTGAATCTGCCTTGAGAACTTGGAGTACCGCCAGGCCTCAAGCTATGTTCAGTATAAGTATACTGACTTATCTTACACCTTCCTGCGGATACTTATAGATACTTAAGGGAATGCATACATCAAGTCGATGATCAGACGCCTCGTAAATGCCTACTAAATTATTTCTCGCTCTGACATTTATTTGATTCATATTAAGCTACTAATAAGCATGGATCTTAAAAATCTGACGTTATTACTTATTAATTATCATTAGAAATTGGATTTAGATCAAATAGTTATTTCTTTACTTTTAAAAAAAACTCCTACAATTTGTGCGAAAAAGTTAAATTTTAATTATTTATAAAGTTCATATTTAGATAACTGATGAATTTTTAATAATCATTACATGGAACTTTTATTTAAATTATAAAAATTAGTTTATGTAAGTTAGTGAGTTGAATTCAGATGATAATACATCATATGTATTCAAATGAACTTGTGAAAATTGAGAGGAGATAATTTTCAATGCAATAAATATGAACTAAAATCTGTGAAATATCACACTCAAAATAGATAAAGTAAACCACTAGACAATTTTCTTAAGTGGAAGAAATCATTTCACAATTCAACCTATTATAGTTTTTACAATTTCGACTATTAAAGATATTAAAGAAATAAATTTGATCAAACTTCATTTTTCTTTCTGGAGTCAGTTTTTTTTTTACTTAAATCTAACAAAAGTTCTGAAGAAAAATTTATATTATTGGTTTATTCAATATAACGTTATAAAAATAAATTAAATTAAAAATTATTCTTTTGATCGACAGAATTTATTCAATTATACAAATCAAGGACTAACTAAATTTCCTTTAATGTGCATATCAACTTGAGAACATATTCTTCTATCATTCACACAATCCCTTGTTCCAGAAAAATGATTAATATTTCAGAGTTGATCTATTAATATATTTTCATCTTTCAAATTATTATTCAAATATGCTTGATGCAGAGCACGTAATAATGAATGCAAGATATAAAAAAGTTGAAAAACCGATTCTTAATTTCAATAAATAATTGAATTAAATTTCTACAGACCTTCAAAAATGATTTTACCATGAAACACAATGAATTTCCACATAAATACAATTATCCCTTTATTTTTCAATAAAATTTGTTAAGAAATAATCGTTGATAAAATGATAAAATTACTTACTGGAGAACGTTAATAGATTGAGTTTAAAAAAATTAGTGGATGAAGTTGGCTAATAAAATTGCATGGAGATTATGATGAAACGGAAATGTTTAGACACAAATGACCTGTGAGGGAGTTTCAAAAATGAATATTAAAATATTCTATTTGATAAAGTTATTTTGTTATTTTATAGTCATAAGTTTATTCCTATTAAGGTGCTTTACACGTCACTTTTACGAGGATATCCTGTCATAAGTATACACGCGGCCAACTCTAAAATGATGCTTGCAAACTTGTCCGTCTAGCCTATTCTATATTAAACAGTATGGTAATATGTTTGGTCGGTTAAAAAAGAGAAAAAAAAAACGTAACAAAGGCATGAACGTGTTATTATGCAATAACTTAACTTGCCGCTGTTCAAGGCGTTGAAACACATGAGATTAGGGGCAGATTCAAATATATTTTACAACCCGGATGGGCTATGTCTTTATCACACTGACGGTTGAGTGTGAATATGCATATCCATCCGTGTCAAATATTGAACTCTTAAAATAAATACATAGCAATTAATTTAAGATATCTCGTTGTTATCATTGATGCTGGTATGCAGCTTAATCAGTAGTTGTTAAATAATAGCGAGGTTCCAGAAACTCAAATAAACTATAATCAGAGTAATTCAACAATTATATGTTTATCTTATAATAAAAAAAATTATTACTGAAAACTTTGTTGAGAATTTTTCATTATTATTGATGCATTATAAAGCGTCGGACTAAAATGATGATATACTACTTGTGAGAGTCAGTTTTAAATCAAATTGAAAGACAACTAGTTATTGGAAGAATAATAACTTTTCAGATAAATAAACAAAGATGAACATAATTAGTGATGCAACAATTAATATTAATTACCAATGAATCACAAAGCCAATTATAATACTATTTATTACTACCGAAAACTCTATGTAGTCATAAATATTGAATAAGGTTAGAAACTAATTATAATATCTAAATGGCTAAGCTCTAAATGAATTCTATAAAGTTACTCCAATTACATTATTTACATGAAAAATATATTTTTGTTTATATCAACTAACTAAACTTTGTGATTATTACAATTAACTCTAGGGCATTGTTTTCATCTGAATAAATTCAATCAGCCATGTTTACTTTTACTGAAATTCAAAAAGCTTCTAAACTCATCAATACAACAATTCATATCATTTCAAAAAAGTAATAAAAATCATTAATCTCAGTTGAAAATTAATAATCTACATACTACATCATATTAATAACCATAATTTAGTTATCCAAATTTTTTTTTAATTTTATCCTTGATATCAAAAGCATTCTACATAAAAACATGTTTCAAATTAATTGAAATAAAAAGTTGATGAAAATGTTCTAAGTAAATTTTGTTGCATCATCATGGAATATTTAATTTCTAAATGTTAATGACTTTTGTTTGTTCTTCTGATAGAATCAAATAATTTTCCTGATCTTGCACTTTAGTACAGGCTAACGTGGTCACTTTACTCAAACTTGGCAAATCTTGAAAAGTAGTGAATAATTGTAGTTAAACGATTAGGAAGTCCATCTCTCGAGCTGATGAATCCTACGATTCTACCAAGGGAAAAGAAGAAAAAAAAGAGACGGAGAAAAGGGGTCGGGAGGTAGAGTTGCAATTAAGAAGTTTGATTACCTTGCGACGAGTTAAGTTAAACTCTCGGTTACAGCCTTTGCAATGACTCACTAGTCGATCATTGGCCCAAGTAGCAGTGCCTTCCTGATTTGCCTGATGTTGAGCATTATTCACTGCTTCTTGTAATTCTACGGCTGCCAATTTTGCTGTACTCAATTGACCGCCCAATTCTTCAAGAGTGTGCTCTTGCTCTGTACATATTTCTCGTAGTGCGTAATGCTCTTCTTGCAAAGCTAGATATTTCTAGAGCAGAAAAAAGTTTAATTAAAATAAGTATAGAGTTCTTTACACTAGTTGTGCTGAGAGAAAAAAATTATTTTTTTTTCAAGAAAAAAAATTCAATAAAATTTTTACTTCAAAGCAAAAGTTTCTTGTTCTGAGCAAATGTACAAAACAGTTGAATGAATATAATTAGTAAGATAATTAATTATCATGTTCAATTGATAAACATTCAGTCACTGATGTAGATTGAATTTAAAATAGACAATTAAATCAATAATTGACTTCTAAAATATTTGCGTTTTAATTAGATATATAAATATGAATAAAAAATTTAAAATAAAAACAATATTATATGATAATACTGTCCAAACTTTGAATAATAAAGCTACTAATTTATGCATTTTATAAAAGCCATTGTTTATATTAAATAAAATTAATTCAAGAGTTAATAAAATGTATACATGAGGTTTTATTTGACTTGTAAATGTTTCAAAGTAACTAAAATTTGGTTTATGAAGCTAATTTTCCACAAAGATAGCAATCGAAATAAAAGATAAATTACCGCTTGCACTTGCTTTAATTGATCAATTTCTTGATGAAGTTGAGAAATTTTTTCTGTGTTAGAAATCGATGACTCTTGAAGCGAAGTACGCCATTCTCGTTCTACTTTTAATTCTCTCTCAACTCCATTTGTCCTCGCCTCTCGCTCTGCAACTTCAGCACCCAAAATCCGTACTCGTTCCTCCACTTCCGTTTTAGCACCATCAATTTCCTTACACCTGAGCCAAATTTATCAGTCCCATTAAAAATATTAGTAACCAAAAATTTATCTTAAATACTTATTATATAATGTAAATCAATTTTTATTTTTATCTATAAATAATTAAGTTATTCTTTTCAATTGCAATATTCATTTCAATTTATTTTTAATACAGTGTTAAAACGATGATGAATCAATTTTTCTATAATTTAATAATAAATAAATTAAAAATAGATTACTTATCATCAAAGGTAGAAAAAAAGATTATACTTTTCTATTAGATTTAATGAATTCTTAATAAGCATTTAATGTGAAAGAATTTCATTTATTACGACCTATATATTCTTTATACACTTTCACCAGTAAATTAAAAATATTCTACTTAATATTCTATTTTATTTAAGAGATACTAGAATTAATTCATAAGTGATATGAAATCGATTGAACGTACACAGCGTACTTTTATACCGGCTGGTTTAATCAATATTTTGTATTATATGAATGAAATGTTTTAGTTACAATAAAAAAATGTGCTTGTTCAATATTAATATAAAGATAGAAGGTAATTAAGACAGCGGGAGTTAGAATTATTCATTTATTATTCACATTACAAGCTCACATAAAATAAATCATGCGAGATTAATAGTAATTTTGCCATAATAATTAGTATACATAATCAAGTTTTGTTATGTGTTATAATTTTATCACCTTGATACGTTTATTGTTAGTGTTAATAAGAATTTGTTTATTTACTAAATTGTATTCAAGCTCCAAAGTTAATAATTATTGACAAGAGACAATAGTAGTTCCGCTCTGATTATGTGTAACAATTCTCTAAGATCATTCAACTAGTTACAGTCTTATTTCCCCAACATATACTATTTTCAATTAATAAATATTAATATTAATTTTATTATAAATATGGGGTTTCACTCAGTTGTTTATATTGCCTTCTGACCATCGTGCATAAAAAATATACACATCAAAAGAGTAAAGATAATAAATAAATTAATATATTATTAGAAAATATCATGTAAATTATTTGTTATTGGTTTTAGTAAATTATAAATGGAGATATTTGTATACGAAAATAAAAAAATAAATAAAAATAAAAAATAAACCTACTTTTTATCCAATTTTTGGATTGTTTCTGACATGGACATCGTTCTCGCCTCCAGTTTGGCAATGATTTCAGTTTTGTGCTTAAGTGAACTCTCACATTCCTGAAATAAATTATTTTTAAGCAAATATTCGCTATTGAATGATATTATTTCCAAGCCATATGAAGAATTTTGCTATATTTTTCGATTATGATTTTTTTAGTCGCTTTTTGCCTCAATAAATCTTAAAGTTATTATTTAATTTTTCCAATTAATGTGATAATAATAAAATCTGTTTTATTGCACTTTATTGTTTGAAAAGAATACAATATTATTGCATTGAATTCATCTTGGACAAGAAAATATAAAAGATACTTTCAAGTTGGACATAAAATACATCTTGTTTAGAAAACAGATTTTATTTCAAAAACTAACAGAAATCTTTTTAATTGCTCGCAGACTTCTGCAGTGAAGCTTCAGAAACTTTTTCATCGTCTTTAGATAGTGAGCATTCAGAAGTTTTATCACTAGAACGCCTTTTATCTTTATTATTATGATTATTTTCAGTTCCTGGAGCTTTATCTGATGTAGGTGAAGCTTTTGGTGAAGTTGGGCTTATTTTTAAAAATGATTTTGTTGAACTTGGTGTCGTTGGACTTCTTCCACTATCATCCTTCATCAAATGGTTGTATTTTTCGAGATTATTTAATAGTTTACCAATTTGATTGGTCTTTGCATGAAGACGGCTGACCATTTCACCTTTTTGCGTCAACTCCACTTCACACTCCTACAAGGATAGTTGTGGACATGCAAACCATTAAGTTCAGATCAAGTTAGTGTTTAGTTAAATCCATTTATGACATTAAAAACATAAAATATAATTTAATCATCATTAGTAAAAGCTTAAAAAGGGTAGAAAAAAATAATATAATACTGAATAAAATTTATAAAAATAATTAAAAAGAAGATTCGTGTTATTAAATCAATATTTAATATTAAGTAAAATATTAATACATGCACTTAGTGGTAAGTTTAATGTGATTTTATATTAATTAATTTATATTGAGTGAGCTGTGCTAAAGGATTAGTAAATAGCATGCTTCAAAATTTAAATTGAATCAAATAGTTATATTGAACTATTATACGCATTATTCACCTGTAATTTTTTATACATTTCCAAGTTAATAAGCTTAATGTCTTCTAGTTGTCGTCTTAGTGAAATAATTGTATCTTGTTTTTCATGAATATCTTTCTCGAGAAGCTTCATTGCTACTTCCATCTCGGATTTCATGCTGATCTGTTTGTAAAAACATTTAAAAATAAGTCTAAGGCTTCTTATAAACAGATCTGATTAAATTATTTATTTAATCAAACATATGTTAAACCTGTAAGGCAAGTTCTTTCTCAACTTCAGCTCGTAATTTTTTTTCTGATTCTACTCTGCTTCGCAATTCTTCTATTTCTGAAGTCGTTTCTGTAATTTTTACTGGTATCTTTCCATTCTAAAATATAAACATTTATTAATTATTGTCATTTTTATGGATTTTTTTTCCGTTAACTCGTACCTCCATTATATCTTTCACTTCAATCCCAAGCTCTTTCTTCAACTGTCGATTCTCTTCATGTAGAGTTAAAATATTATTTTTTGCTATTGAAAGATCTTCTTTCATCAGTGCATTTGTAGTAGTTAACGATTCTACTTTTGCTTGAAGATTCGTAACAGTTGCACTAAAAATTAATTCAAAGAATAATAATTAAATTAATTTAAGTAACTTTTCTAGATCTACATTAAGTGTTGCATTTGATATTTACTTTAGATGGCGATTCAGTTCTTCAATGTAATTTTTCTGATCTAATACTGTCGTCATATTGTCATTCTCCAACTCATCATCAGGCGAATCACCAGGAATGTGATTACTATTACGTAAGTAAAGTGAAAAATCAATGACTCCCTGTTGACAGTCAAGATCTTCTTCTTTGACACAAAAGTTACAATCGATGACATTAAGTCCAACAAGAAGTCCCATTACTACAATAGCCTCCTCACTCATCATCAATGCATCAGGTTCAAAATATTCTGACAGAAGATCATCTCGATGATCAATTAAAACTTTTAAATAGTCTGCTAATTTCTTTTGCATCAATGCCATACGAAGCCATGCACGAGCTCTTCCCATTGCTGTCCTGTGTATTAAAATTGAGTTGATTTATTTGAAGTAATTCAGGTTAATCAGTAATTAAATGAATTATTTAATCAATTAACTGATAAAGTACCTCACAGTTGGGAGGTCACGAATGCTGGAAGTGATGTCTTGTGCTTCTGGACAGTATTTTTCAACTAATTGAAGAATGTCCCACAGTTCCTTTTTTGGGCCAAGAAGACCCTGTAAAATCCAACGTTTTTAGCACTGAATCTATTGGATATATTGGTATTTTTACTGTGATTATTCCAAAGATCTAAATGGTGAGAATGATTAAATTACCTTCTTTGGTCGTAGACCATGCCTGAGCACATGTTCAAGGACGATGAAAAAATGTTGAAGTGGCATGTGATCAGAGTCAAGCATTCGACCATATTTAAGTGAAGTTTCTATTAATTCTTTTACAATTAATTTCGAAATATTCACAAGATTACTTCTTTCGATAATTACTGGATCCCGAGCTGCAAAAAAGAATGATACAAAATGCATATGTGATATCAGTAACGGTTTCTAATATTTTCTGGTATGGTTGCAGAGACTGTTGCTACAGAAAAAATCATCAAAAAATAAATAAAAGTTTTGTTTTTTTTATTTATTGCATGTTGAAGTAAACCGTCTTTCAAGTTTTTAATGACAGCATTAGCTTGAAATAATAAAGGAAACTAGCAAAAAATAACTAATAATAAAAGAAAGAGTGAAAAATTAGCAGCGTATGAAAAAAAGAATTGATGCAAGCGATACAAACACAAGCTGGAGAAGTGCTGAATTGGTGGCGGACTTGGTGGAAGAATATCGTAAAGCTCAGATCGCAGAGATTGTTGCTGAGAATGTTGTTGCTCATGATGCAAACACGAATCATGATGATTAGATATACCACTGAGAGCTAAAGGTGGTGATGGAGATTGTTGCATGGAATCTTGCATTGAAAATTCAACATCCTGAAGTTCTTTTAGACATAGCCATTCACCATCAACCGACACCCTGAAGTTACACAGGTAAATGGTGTCCTGGGCACCAGCCATATCTTGTTCAATCATGGCTCCACCGTGTTGAAGATCACCCGGGGGCCTGAGTTTTAAACCGGCATTAGCTTCTTGCCGCATAGAGATCACAATGACCTCAATTGATTAGATCTTACTTATGTGTTTGTTTTGTTTTGATTTGTTCCGTGATTCCTTTTCTTCAAATTCTCTTGACAGTTCTTGATGATTTCCACTTGTTCTTTAACAAACGTCCAATTATTCAATTAAATTGAATTAAATCGTATTTGTTTCAACTTATTATCAAGTATTTGCAGCAATATTATTACCAATGATGATGGAGACTGCACTTTCCAACTTGTCTGTCAACTGTCACTTGGTATATTCCATTTCACGTTGGTGGTTGTGAGGTCTTATTCACTAATTAATTTAAGCTGCTATTTTTATTTTACTGACAATATTTAGATAAGTCAGAATATGTAAAAATTGATAGATTGCGCGTTACAAGGTTGAGATTTGATATTAAAAAATGTAATGGTGACGATCACTGTGTAAAGAATATTGATTTCCCTTCAGACTTTGCTACCCTCTATGATAATCAATAATAGAGGGGACGTGAGAAATTTCCATCACGTGCTGCTCCCACAAGTCTTTTCACTCTTCTGGTAGTAAACTTACCATTTTGCGGTCTTTAATTGCTACTGTCGATATCGTTGAAATTATTAACATTTATTTCATTATCGTGGGTAATAGAAATATTATATTAAAATAAATTCATTAAAGATGAATAAAAAAATCTACTTTTATATTTTTGAATAGAACGTTAATTTCTCTGTTTAACTTTGTTATCGTTCTACAAACATGCTGAAGAAATGTATTTATTTACTTGTAGTAATCTTAAATGACATTTTATGGTTTTGTATATTAATTATGTAATACATAACATAATAATAATCCATTAATGGAATAAAAAGCTTAATTTTGACAAAGATAGAACTTTCATAAACTTCAAGACTATGGGTTAACAAAATATTCATGAATTAATAAAAACATATAAATTGTTGTTAATTGAACTCAATAAAATTAAAAAATCTAATTTTCCATCTGCAATAAAATTTGATTATTAATTTTTTTTAAAAATAAAATAATAGATTCTGATAAGATTAACTAGAGTTGGAACTTTTGGGTTATCCACAAGTGTCATGATGCGATTACGTCAAGTAATTAATTCAATAAACAAAAGCGACTATTTGATGTTAGAACTGTAGGAAAATGTAATAAGTATGGATTCAAAAGCTTTAGATAATAAAAGATAAACTGAATAAATACGGATTAACTACTGGTTTAAAAACTGCCGCCTGAAGGATAGAATAGATATGGAAGGCGTGCAATTCACTACTGTGTTGATATGTACTCACGTCTTGGTGACCACCATGCATCCAATTTTCTAGGCCTAGACACAACAAGATCAGGCCATTTATCTTCACGTATTGAATAACTCGATGGTGATCTTGATACACTCGCGTGATCATTTTCATCGGACACCATACTCCCGGTCAACGATTTTTCGGACGGTGACATTACCAAATTCGAGCTGTTTTCTGCGGCCATTTTTGCTCATTATCAATTGTAGTTCAGTTATTTTAACATTACAAGATATACACGTGAATCAATTACTGATTAGGAGTACCCTTTCAAATTTACTTATCTAATTATGGCTTATTTATTTAGATTTCGATAGCCACGCATACACTTGTATACACTGAGATAGTCACCAACACTTTGTTTTTTATTTTTTTGTTATGTACCTATCTTTTTTATCAACCTGTCATTTCCTTACAATATTACCAACAGTCGTTAAAAATTTTCATCAAACTTTATAACCTAAAATATTTGTTCGATTATTATTATTTAAGAAAGCTAAGTGCGTACATTATCAGTACTTTTTTTATAAATTTAAGCAAAAAGTTAATTAAAATGTCGAAGGCTCCTTTACCTACTCCGACACCAGAATTGGAATGGGTTAAAATTCGAGAAGAATTAGCTGAATATGATCAAATTGAACCGTTCCAGAAAAAATTTAAAAGAGTACTTATTGAACATCCTTTGGTTCCTTTAGGTAAACTAAACGATTACATTATTAATAATTTAAGAAACAGTAATATAAATTTATTTCATAAAATCTATCTTTTAGTGACAAAAACATCTCAAATTTTGTAAATCTAGTGAAAATTTGTACTTTTTGTTTATTTGATACACAAATTTTTATTAAAGCTTTGAAACGTTCTTTTAGATTGCATAGTTTTATGAAATTGAATAATTGAAGAGTAAACGTATTTTTAGCATCCACAAAAAAAGAATACGTACTAATCAGCAATCGATTTATTATCTTCATTATGCAATTAAGTTCTCAATTATTATTTATATGAATAAATCATAATTCAGTTTTACCATTTTTTTTTACTTAAGTATAGACTTGAAAATAGATTTATTACCTTATCGAGTTAAAAATACGTAGTTAAATAGTCATTTTGAAAGTCAAACGTTTTATTACAAATATACTAAATATAAATAATAAATTGAAATATTTATTAATCATTCTGAAGATTTTACAATCGATTTTGAGATGAAAGTTTAAACGATTATTGTCAATATTAATTAATACAAAATTTTATAATTTCATTAATAGGAATTATGGCAACATGTGGATCTCTTGTTCTTGGAATGCGAGCAATGGTTCAAGGTGATCGCTTACGATCAAATTTAATGATGCGATTTCGAATATTTTTTCAAGCTGTAACAGTTGCTGCTATGACCGTAAGCGCAGTGACAGTTTTAAAATCAAGAGAAAAATCTGAAAAACTGAACGAAAATTCTACGTAGTTAATTTATTGATAAATTGATAGAAAATTATGTTGTTAAGTTCGATTAATAGATTTAATAACCTTTTCATTGTGTAAAAAGCAAGAGTGGTATTTTATAGCTGTTTTTGTTTAAATAATAAATTATTAATTGTAAAAAAAAGTAGTCAATATTTCTATTCGTATAATATATCAGTTTATTCTTACAATTGGTTTTCATAATACAACAAATGTATTACTGTTTAATTTCTTTATACAATTGCAATTCTAAAAAAAAATTGTATACTTATGTAAATAAGCCAATAGGAAATTAATTTTTTTATATTATAATTATAATCATCTCTCATAAACGAAATATCTAGAGGTGAAAAAATAATAAAATAAACATTTAATAATGGAACTAAAAAAAAAAAAAAAAATACTTGTAGAATGATTGATTTCAATGAATTTTTGTATCAAATGAATACAAAAATATCGTACCTTTTTTCTCAAGATCATTTTTCTTTTATAAAGGTTTACAAAATTATATAGCGACGATATTTTGCATTTGGTTTTATAGAAAAATCATATTATTGTAATATTGCTTGTATTCTATTATTGCCGCAAGAATAAAAGAAAATATTTATAGCTATTTATCAATAGAAATTTTTGACAATAGTGTTCAACAAAAAATATAATTATACTTTCTACAGGCGGATTACAAGATTCAGTCTCAAAAAAAAACACAAAATGCATGTAAAGATGACTGAATTACAGGACTCTTGGTTTATATAATGATTTTTTTCTCTTATTGATCTCTGCAGTAATCAGTCTATCATAATTTGATTTGTATACCACCAACAAAATCTTGATAGTACAATGTTATGCACGAAATTCAAGTGTATGACTTCTTCTAAATACACCTGGGATTTAAGTAATTTAATCAGATCAACATTTTTAATCATGATTTTTATTGGAGAACGGCCAGTGTGATTTGAGAGTGCTTGTACTTAATTTACTTGTACCGCTGGTGCTTAATGATCGAGAGCGTAAGCTTGGTGGACTATTTGAATTGCAGCTACTGAGACTTGTACTGGGAGTGAGGCCAAAGATTTCTTGGACTGTTGGTCTCGACGAAGAATATTCTGGTCTTACTGATTCTGTAATTATAGAATTATTAAATAGAGGAAACAATTTATTTAATTATTCATAATTAAATTATTCTTATTTAGTCTTCAAAATTTGAATTGAAAGCTTGTTATTATTTTTCGAAAAAGAATATTAACCTATCAATGGAGTCTCGTCATATAAAGATCCTTGTCTTTTGTTACTGATGAAAGAATTTCTGGCACTCTCGATGTAAGGTACTTGTTGTATAGATTCTGCAGCATGCTTCCATCTTAAATGATCTTTAGCATGACACGTCAAATGTCTTAACCATTTCTGAGCTTCTTCATTAGACTCTAACTTAACTGTTACAACTTTTTCACATCCCTCAATGATATTTGATATTCGAATCTCTGTAGGTGATGATTTTGGCAATTGAATCGATGTTTCCTAATATTAAACAAAATTTTATTAAAGAAAACGGTCTTTTATTGTAAAAAGTAATATTATGAGTATTCGTCTATAAATTGTCTATTGACAACCATTGATAAATACTTACTCGATTTATTGGTATAGTAAGAGAAGGGTTTTGTTCATCTTCTGCAAGTTTACGAGACTCCCAAGTTTTCAAACTAAAACTTCTGAGACGAGCCCAACAATTGGCACCATTGATATTGATGTTTCCAGTATAAACATCTTTAGTCATGCAGTCAAGTTGGGCAGCTAGTCGACAGCAAAAGTGGCCAAACAATGGCAGCATATGATGTTTATTTTCTGTATAATTTGCATAAAATAACAATTAATTAAATAATACTTAAATGTCTTAATAATTTGAAGTAATACTTCAACTGAATGCTTTACCTAAATTATTAATGACGAGATCATGAGTATGGATATTTTCATCAGTATCATTTAAAGTTAGCTTTGCTGATGCCATCAATTCAAATTGTGGGCCTCTAAAATATACCCAAATTAATTTATATTAACTTAAATGCTATTTTGTTTAAATATTCTTTTTTTATTATTAATATTATTTTCAAAAAAATACTCAAGTAAATAAATAAAATAATACTTACAACTTTCCAGAATTTAATTCGTCTCTAAGTGAAGCTGCAAGTTTTTTCCCTACAGTTTTAGAAATAGACGAATGAATAGTCCGTTTAATACGTCGAGGAGTACTTGCTATACTTAAATCTTCTTGTAAAATATGGCTGTAGATTTCGAGAGTTAATTCAAAATCTGCTGGCACATGATTACTAAAATGTATAATATTAAAATTAAAAATAATCCAGAGGTAAAACCTGAATTTTAATAGTTCACTACTTATTAAATAAAATAACATTCTAAGCAATATCATATAACTAAAGTATCGAATTCAATTATAATTAAATGGTAATGTTATTCAATCAATCAATAAATCAATAGACTTACAAGAGTAAAATGTCAGGGAATGTGATGTCTGTATGTGCCCGATCAACAGGACAAAGAAGAGCTGTATCATGTATTTCGGTCCCAACTCGTGCCAAACAAAATACAGCAAATCTACGGTAATCCCCACGATTCTTAAAGTGATCTGAATCTCTCCACATTAAAGGAACTCTCAGTTCCGATAGTGAAACTTTGGCTGTGCTACCAGAGACACTGAAAGTCCAAACAAGAATAAAAAAATTTAGAGAAAAAGCTTGTCTTTGTCAACAAAAAATATTTGAAATTTTTTTAAAAATGTTACAGCGTTTTAGTCTGATAAATTGTAGACCTGAATAAATTAATGTTATGGTCTAAAATTTTCTAACAAAAAATCATTGAATTTTAAGATTTGTTCCAAGTTACGCTGCATTCTTTACCTTGATTTATTGTTTGGTTCTTTCTTTCTGCGTTGAAGCTCAGCCATGTATGCCAGCATTCGTTCATTAGATGTCAGCAAAGCTCTAGCAGCTTCCAAACTTTGTGCTCGATGACGGGCTGCTGCTAAAAGCCTTGCAGATCCTTCTCTCATCTTGATTTCCACTTCAATTTTCTGTTCCAAATCATATTCCTGAAACACAATAATATTCATACTCATTATCTATATTTAAACTCATTCTAAAAATATATTTACAGAAATTTTATTGTCTGAATCAATTTAAGATGCAGAAAATCAAGATGAATATTAATAATATCTTAGTTTAATGTATATTGAACATTTAAATGATTAAAATTCCTTTTGAACATTCACCACATCCTGAACCATGTAGAGAATACAAATGTCAAAGGTATATTACCAGAATGTAAAATCTTGCCAGTTTATTTTTCATTATTTTGCATCGAGTTTTAAGTTTATAAATGAAATATTGAACAATAAAATGAGATAAAATAAAGAGGAATACATGAGATGTGATAGAGTAAAATAAAAAAGGAGAAATAGGATAAAAATCTCTTGGATTTCTTATTAAAGCCGGCAGTGCACGCAAAGAAGCATCACATTTAGGGAGACCTTTGCTAACAGAGAGACTGGTTGTCGATATAGTTTACTTCTTGGCTGCGTGTGGCCAAAGTGCCGCAAGGCGGTAAGTATCCATCTTTTCTTGTATGTTGCTTTTAAACATCACCGTAACTCCATCAGCTTTATGAAGAGATATATGTATAATTCTATAGCCGACGGACACTGACTCTGAATGTATTGAAATGATGAAACTTGATACTCTTGAACAATGGTAGAATTCAAAGTAATTACTAGTTTTTTTAATCATTTTTTCCTTATTAATTTTTTATTTTATTATCAAGTCAAGGGTTAGTTGATGGCAAACCAGTTTCTGAATATTTAAATTTACATTTTCACTTCAATAAAAAATAATTGTTGGTAAATAAATGGTTTTAATTCTGGATGATAAAAATAAATTTGGTGTAAATAAGTATTTGTTTGTTGTTTTGAAGAGAAAAATAAAATTTGGAAAGATTTTTGATATTGTTTGTTTTCTAGAAAAAATGTTTAACTAAATAATAGATATGTTTGAGGAAAGATAAGCGAATTTTCGTGAGATCTATTTTTGGCAAGACTATAAACTCATATTGTCAAGGAAGAAGAAAGCCAAAATATACTGAGTGAATTTGCTGATGGCCGTAAGCCAATTGTCGGTTGAAATTATTCAGCACGTTTGTGCGAGATTCATGTGTATGGTACAAAGTACAACCACTTGTAGACTATATGATATAATCACAGATAATTTTTTATTTGTTCAATTATTAGAATAAATCACTTGACAAATCATTTGAGAAAATGAAAATCAAAACAAATCAATTATGCATTGAGTATTATGATTTATTTATTTTTTTTAGTCTTTACCTTATTTGAAGGTTTTGAAAGTATTAGAGTTGTTGTCATGATCTTCGAGCCAAATGTTAAACCAAAACTTTTATTTCATAAATAATACATATAATATTTATATAAACTACGAGTAAAGAATACGCCCAAGATGATAATAGCACTTTCTGAACACCAGTTTCTTAGCGAAACTTTGGGGTTTTAGGAATGAAAAAGGAGATGAAGTTGGACAGAAGAACAATCAAGTTAGTTTAAGGTCAACTCTGATCTTACGAAGGATGATTTTTCTTCCGTTTAGCCTCGGTTTTATGTATTTGAATTGAAAATGAATTTTTTCAAATTCAATTTAACTTTTTACTTAAACTCTAGATGAAAAAAATTAATCGTTTTTTTTTTATCAAAAACATGTTGAATATAAAATATTAAAAAAATATAAAAATACTAGACAAGTCACCCCGAAAGTATCGCCAGAGAGACTGAACTCATGCGTTTATTTGAAGTTCAGTGTCGGTTTCATGTTTGACGGCAAGTTGAGTCAGGGGTTGGTTTGGCGTCGAGAAATATCGACCCATAATGCCCCCTCCTCTTATCGCAGGTTCGCCGTGATACGATTCTGCGCCTGCTACAAAATTGTGCAGGTCGGGTGCATAGCTATGGAAATAATATTAAATGAAAATTTATTGTGGTGATATATCAATGGTAAACCACGTGATATATCAACAAAATTGATGTTAATAACTTTGAATTTAGTATTGCAATACAATTTCATTGTGTAATAACATCAACGTTGATGATAAATTTATTTTTTAAGACAACGCATGGTCGCACTATCTACCTACATGAGGTTTGTCATAAAACTGGAGCTGGTTTATTTTTTATGGAGTATAAAAATTCTGGGATATTCTGGGATTTATTTACTTTTTCAAGGATCATGATTTTTTAGGATACTTTTAAGTTATTTTTTACAGCTAACACTAGTTTTCCAGCAATAAAAATATTTCTACAAAGGTCATATATGTCATTTCAGTAACATAAATAACAAATAATTGAATACTACCAACTTTAAAAATATAAGCGAATACTTGAATTTCTGTATTGAGAAATCAATATCTGTAAGCTATTTTTGGAAACAAAATTTGAGAATATAATGAATAAATTAGTATTTCGGAGTAAATTTGAATTTTGTTATTGGAGTAATTGAATTAAATGTTGCAATATAATGTAGTTTTTTATAATTATCTATCATCTTTTTATTGCTTAATTAAATGATAATTATTGTTCAATTATCTCTAAATACCAAATCAAGTTATCCATACACGTGTACGATCAATACTACTGTTATCTTATCATTTACAGCTATTCAAATATTTGCGTAAATCCTTCATAGGTCTACATATATAGATGTAGTACGTCAATTAAAGCTTCAATTCAAATCAAACAAAATTTATAACTACATGTATTTCAATTCTTCATCTTGAATTTGAACATAAACTTTATTTTACACAATATTCATTAAAACACCAATTAAATATTTTCTTAATATTGTCTATCCAATTTTTTATAACAATTATTAATTAAACTTATTTCTTTATTTTATTAAAGTATCACTTCAAAAACTTATTAGGTCTAATCAATTAGAAACTCTAGACTGATAGACTCATATCAATTACATTATCCAAAGCACTCAAATATGTATGCACTGTCTATAAATATTTACAGGGTAATTAACTGGTTGTAAGCTGAATTAGATCATCTATAATTGTTTTAAAAAAATTTCTTATAGATAAATGAAAGAGAAAAAATGGAAACAAAGGTAATAAAATGCAATAAAAAATGAACTGGAGTGAAAAATTGCAAAATAGACTTTTAGATAAAAGACGTTTATTATCTTATGTTTAATGAGAATAAATGTAATGAGTATATTGTTGAATCAGATTGAGTTTAAGTGCGTTGGTGTTATTAATAGTATAACTTCTTATGACATGGACTAATAATGAACAACTGATGATTGATATGGAGGTTTAATGTTCGTAATACGACGGGTTTTCCTCGCGTATGAACGTCGACATCACTTGAAGACGTGGGGTTGACACACTTGACCTCTGATGACCAATGATAATGAGCCTTAACGAATCTCATCGCGGTAGTATACTGCTGCAGTACAAGACAACGCTCTGCTATAAATTTACAAGCCGTCAGCGGTATTATTAGAGAAAAAGAAGCGTCAATTCGCGGTCTGATCGATGCAAATCAGCGTGACTGCACTTGTTGGATTTAATGAACTTAAATCGGGATCCAATTTAAAAATGCTTTTAGATGAATCACGTCATATGTTTACTCCTTTATTATGCCATTCATTCATTGTGTGCTGAATTTCAATAAAGACTTTGTGATAATCGAGAAAAAAATATCATGATAAATAATACTTTATTGCTTTCAAGCTGCTCATTTAGGTGTTGTTAAATAAAAGAGTAAAAATTAGATGAAGAAGGTAGCACTGAAGATGTATGCACTTTGTATGCCCTCGTCCGAAATAATCTTCCTGTCGACCCAGAAAATATATCATGCATAATAACTTATATGATATTATGCAGTATGACATTGGATAATTGGTATGAGAAAATTTTTTAATAAAATAGATCAACGATAATTCGCAATAAAGTAAATGAATAATGAACATGATTTTTGCAAGCATAAAAAATAAATCTATATAAAATGTTAGTAATATTATTCATAAAAAAAAATATTATTAGTTATTTGTTTTTGAAGTGAATTTTAAGAATAAAAATACACAAAATCTTTTTGCGAAGGATTAAAAGATTTTTGCGGTTGTTTAATTGCAGAAAAAAATCTTTGAAATAAAAATAAAAATAATATAAATTTTTTGGAATTATTCTCCTTCGCTACACTGCAAAAAAAAAACTTTAAAAAATATTTTGTCCTTTTCAACTTGTTTACATGCCTTGGTGATGTTGTAATACTTAATTTAGGATTGTTGTGCGTATTTTTTTTGTCCAGAACCACTCTCAACAGTAGGTCCTAATATAGAAATGTCCACGAATGCATAAATAATGGAAATGAGCATGGAACAGAATGAAACAAAAGGAAGCAACTAAATGAAGAAATCACAAGAGAAAGAAATAATTAAACAAAGAAGTAAGAAAGAGCAGACTCTATAAAAGGGATTTAATAACAAATTATATCATAAAAATATTAAATAAAAAATTATTGTAATAATCTGAAGAAACACAGTTAATTTCTAGTATAACGATAATCATTCAGACAGCGTAAAATATGTGAATAATTTAAAAGATAAGCGTAAATGCACGTTCACGCCTATTTTAAATTTGTTACATCGTATCTAGTGAGCTTCGTAAGCGTCAGAAGTGGAGTTTAATCCCAATCCCAATATATATAAGCTTCTTAAACTGCAGATGAGAAAAGCTATCAGGTTGCTTGCGAGACTTGACGCATTGGAGGTATATGGTCGTGCATTAAACGTAATTACGTAACGGGATGCGTGGCCACATAAGCTCGTAACTCTCGTTACAACACGCTTTACTGGTTGGGGATTAAAGTGAAGTATGTTTACGTGCCGGCAAACTTATACAAATGTAACCAAATGGAGATATGAAAACGCAAAAAGTAATTAAGTGCAGTTAAATATCACAGGAAGTAACAATAATGAGAATATTTACATGTTTGTACTAATAAATAAATAAACATTACTTTAC